AGAATCCTTGCCTCCAAGGAGTAGCCTGGTTTAACCCTCTCTAGGATGAATCTGTTTGTTTTCTTGGCAGTCCATGGAACATTCAGTACTCTTCTGCATGCTTTGCTTAATTTGGATTGCTAAAATTTATTTGAAAAGTGAAGTCAGCATGTTTTGGTGGTATGTTCATGTCTGCTGAGAATCCAAAGTAACCAAATAGCAAATGCTGGCAAGGTTGTGGAGAAATTGGAACCATCAATCACTGCTGGTGGGAGTCTAAAATGGTGCAACCACTATGGAAGGCACTATTGTGCCTTCTCAAAGTTGGAAATAGAAATACCATTTGACCTAGCAACTCCACTAGTGGGAATATACCCCAAAGAAACCAGAACTTCCACCCAAACAGACATACACACACCCACATCCTTGTTTATCATTTTGATATTCACAATAGCAAAGAGATTGAAGGAACCCAAGTGCCAGTCAACAAATGAATGGATAGAGAGCATCTGTGGTATAGTCAAACAATGGAATACTATGCAGCACTGAAAAACAAGGAACTCATACAGAGTGGGATATTTCATTCACAAAAGGACAAATACTGCATAATGCCACTGTTATAAAATAGGACTGACATTGGGGATTAGGGAAATCTAAGGTAGGTAAATAATGAACATTATTGAATTGGAACATATGAGGGAAAGAATTGTTTAAAAGGGAAATTTGATTAGGTATTATTTGAATGACAACAGTCCAGAATAAGAGGTGCATAGTAAAGTGTACTGGGATGGGTGAGGAGGAAGGAAAATGTGCAATAATGAATGAATGGAAATCCAACTTTTCTGTAAACTTTCGTTAAGTTCAATATAAAATTTTATTTATATTAAGAATCCAAGGTAATTTATGATCCTTTTCTTTCAGATGACTGAGATGGAAATCTCAAGAGCAGCAGCAGAACGGAGCTTGCGGGAACACATGGGCAATGTGGTGGAGGCTCTTATTGCCCTAACCAACTAAACATGCCCACAAGATTAACTTATTATAATAAAAATGCTTTTGTCTTTTAAATTTTTTAATTATTTTGGACCAAGTGTATTGTGTTTTTGTAGGAAGTTTTTATGTTGGAATACTGCATTTTTGTCCCCTTCTTCCCACCACTTAACCTATGATCAGAGTATATTTACACCTTTAGTCTTTTATTCAAGGAAAAGGCCTGCAGATGTAGATGCTAGGTCAGGCTCATTCATCTGACTAGCGTCACTCAAAAGTACTTCTAGACTGTCATTCAGGTTTTACCACCTGTTGAGAAGTTATATTTCTATTCCAGTATAATGAATAACAATCTGCATTTTAGTAAGATCCTCATGTGATGGTATCAACCTGGTCACCAGTTTAGTTTTTGAGTAGTAAAGAAGCCTGCACCTGACAGGGAGCTCCTGTATAAAGATGTAAATTAACAATTTTACCTTGAATTCCATTTTCTAAAGACAATTTTCAACTGGCCAGTCACCTTTGTTTTCTTTTGTGAAATGATACAGAACTGAGTTTTAAATACTGGTGAGCTAGTGAATGTAAAATGCTTGGCTTCATACTCAAATGCTATAAAAAATAAAAGAATTTTAAGACTTTCATTTTCACTCCAGGATAATTCTTAGGCTATATTCCCTCTGGCACATACAACAGTGACCTAATACTCATGTGTTTTTTTATAGTTAGGCTTTTAGAGGACATTGAAAGTGTTAAAAGATTCCTCCCATTTAGGAACTTAAATGATGTGAAGATGAACTTTTCCCCACTGGTTCAATGTCCTTATGCCTTTATAGCTCTAGGAGGTCTACTTCATATATGGTGGATATATGATAAACTCATTTGAGTTGAATTTAATATGCCATTCTACTGCTGTTAGGTGCCATCGAGTTGCCTGTGACCCACAGTGATGCTATTTACAGCAGCTATGAACCCTGCCCTGAGCCAGTCTAATTCTAACACCAACTAGTGCTATCTCTCTGTTCACCCTTCCAAGCATGATATCCTTCTCCAAGGATGAGACTACTCGCCCTGGGCCCAAAGTATGTGAGACAAAGCTTCAAAATCCTAGCCTCCAAGGAGGAACCTGGTTTCACCCTCCCCAAGACCTATTTGTTGACAGTCCATGCTTTATTTAAGATTTTTCTCCAGCACCACAATTTGAAGGCATCAATTCTTTTGTCATCTGCAGTCATTGTCCAGCTCTCTGAAGAATTAACAAAGACCATGGCTGGAATTAGGGGCACCTTTCTATACTGACATCGTTGCTTTTCATCAACTTATTTTAGTAGATAATCGTTACTGTGCACATTTTACTTCCAGGATCATGCTAAACATCTTGGTGTGTAAATTCTTTTAACACAAAGTATGTTTGGGTTACAAAAATTTAATCAAGAAATGCAAACAAGTTTTACAGAGATCAGACTTGGTATTACCCCTAACCCAAAGGCTGAAGTAATTATTGTCCATTTATTGCCCAGGTTTCTGACTCAAGTTCAGAACCTGGAAAAAAGAATCTCAAGTGATGAGAAGTCACAGCAGCAATGACACTTAAAAGTAATCTAACTTAAGCGGGTGGTCCCTAATCCTACCTGGATAGTGCTTTTCTGTAGGTTTCTCAGAATGAGTCCAAACCTCAAAAAGCACCTTCTAATGTTGGTCTGCCTGGGTAACAATATGGCAGTTAAGTTCCACAGGTTGGATACTGTGTAAACTAAAGCAAATCGAGGACCAGGAGCTGTGATTTTCCAATGTATTCCACAGAACACAAAACAGTTGAGCTCTAGGTAGTTTTCCGTTTCTTGGCAGACGGTCGCTCAAATACATCTCGTACCCCTGCTGCCTTCTGTTTAAAGAACTTTGTGTTCTGAGCACTTTCTTGACCCCAAGCTGAGTCAAAGGAGGTGGTGTCTTGATCCACAAGGTGGGTGTATTTGGTACGGCCGGAGCGTCCAAAGTTCTTGACCTGAGGGAGAGATGGATGATGAGTTAAACCACCAAACACTATATCCCAGCCCTCAATACTTTTTGTGTGTTAAGCCCCCCCCCATACCTGCATGACTTTGGGAAGAATGGTTTTATTGAAATGATCCTCCAGTGTAGGTGCGCTGAAATCTCTCTTATATACTTCTTCATCCTCATCCTGTAGGAAAAAATCTCATTAGTTTTGTGTTACTTTTCATAGGTTAAATTACAAATTTATTAAATTCCTATCACAAAGATACAAAGAAAGATACTGAGTTTATTTTTTAAAAGTTTAAATCTAGTTGAGCAGATATTTTTTCCTTTCTATAAGTGCTGACATGCTTTGAGAGTTCACTGTACTTTCTGTGCTCACTCACATGTCATCAATCCTATTTATATTACACAAAACCATTGCTGTCCACTCAATTTGACTTGTGACGACCTTGACGGACAGAACAGAATTGCCTTACTGTACTTCCAAGGCTGTATATCTTTTTGAAAGTAGACGCCTGTATCTCTTTTGCATAGAGTGGCTGGTGGGTTCAAATTGCCAAACTTTCTGTTAGCAGCCAAATGCTTAACCAATGTACCATCAGGGTTCCTCATCCTTGTATGTTATTGTTGTTAGGTGCTGTGGAGTTGAGTACAACTCATAGTAACCTTATGAACTATCTTGTGCCATCCTCATACATCCTGACACACAAGAGTCCACAGCAGCAGTCAACATGTCAATCCACCTAGTTGAGGGTCTTCCTCTCCTTTAGTGACTCTCCATCCTTCCCCACATTATGTCCCTCTCCAAGGAACAGCACCTTCTAGCAACAGGCCCAAAGAAAGTATATGAAGTGAAGCCTCATTTCTGCCTCCAAAGAGCCCTCCAGCTGCACTCTCTCCAAGACTTATCTGTTCATTCTCTTGGCCGTCCATGGATGTTCAGTGCTTTTCTCTAATACCACAGCTCAAAGGCATCAATTCTTTCTGTCATCCTTATCCACAGTCCAGCTGTCATATGCATAGCAAGTGAAAAAGACAGACTGGAAGCAGGATGGGCCATCAATCTACTTTCTAGTATCACATTTTGTCAAGTATCATCACCTGGATTAATTCCTCTCCTTTCCACCCAGTCCCCCCGCAATCAGGTTTATACAACTGTCAGTTTAGTTTCTAAAACATAATTCCCTCCCTACTTTTTAATTTTTTTTTTTTACTGTTATTAACTATATGTCTTTCTTGCTAAAAAAACTTCTACTGGCTCTTTTGTTAAATTAGGACTGAATTCTTTAACCTAACATACAGGCCATGGTCTTCCCAATCACTTGTTATACATCAGAGAGTTGGACAATGACCAGGGAGGATAGAAGGAGAATTGATGCCTTTGAGCTGTGGTGCTGGAGAAGAGTATTAAGAATACCATGGACTGCTAGGAAAACAGATTTGTCCTGGAAAGGGTTGAACCGGGTGGCTCCTTGGAGGCAAGGATTCTGAGG